TCTAAGTCTGGTCTTTATCAGAAAATACGTTATTTCTCTTTTACTGGTGGTTGAATTTCCTTGCTTCCTTCCTCCCCATTCTTTATTCTATTTGCATAGCAACAGTGAAACTGGAACACATTATTTTAAACCATGGGTGTGAATTGTGACTCTCAAGGGTTCCTGTTGTTTTTATTTAGTGGTAAATCCCTTAGGAGCCAGCATGATGTAATGGTTTGAGCGTTGGACTGAGAATCTGGAAGCCAGGGTTTGAGTCCCAGCAAAGCCAGTGTCCAACCTACCAGTTTTGGGCAAGGTTTTGGAATGTATGGTGGCTTCCCAACTCCAGGGGTTTCTGGATGAAAGAGATTATCTAGATCCATTCAGTCTGGTTTCAGGCCTGGCTATGGAACAGAGACAGCCTTGGTCACCTTGGTGGATGACTTACGCAGGGAATTGGACAGGAGCAGTGTGCATCTACTGGACCTCTGAGCGGTTTTCAATACTATTGTCCATAGTATCCTTCTGGGCTGCCTCTCTGGGATGGGACTTGGAGGTACTGTTTTACAGTGGCTCTGTTCCTTCCTGGAGGGGATAACACAGAAAATGGTGCTAGGGGACTCCTGCTCAATCCCCTGGTCTATGGGGTCCCTCAGGGTTCTGTGTTGTCTCCTATGCTATTTAACATATACATGAAGCTGCTGGGAGAAGTCATCTGGAATTTTGGGGTGCAGTATCATCAATGGCCTCTGTAGTGACCAATTGCTCTGCAGAGGGGCGGGATATAAAATTATTATTATTATTATTATTATTATTATCATCATCATCATCATATGCTGATGACACTCAACTCTCCTATTCCTTTCCACCCCAATCCAAGGAGGCTGTCCTGGTTTTAAACCAGTGTCTGTCATCAGTAACGGATTGGAGGAGGGCAAACAAGTTGAAACTTAATCCAGAGAAGAGCCTGTGTTAAATAGGGTCATACTCCCCCTGAAGACACAGGTTCGTAGTTTGGGGGTTCTCCTGGAGCCAGCTTTGAACTTGGAGGCCCAGGTCTCTCCAGTGACCAGGAGTGCTTTTGCACATTTAAAACTTGTGCACCAACTGCGCTCATTCCTTGAAATGCTGGATCTGGTCCCAGTGGTACATGCCTTGGTTACATCCCGTTTGGACTACTGTAATGCACTCTACTTGGGGCTGCCTTTGAAGAGTGTTCAGAAACTTCAACTGGTCCAAAGAGCTACAGCCAGGCTGCTGACAGGGGCAGGTTACAGAGATCATACAATGCCTCTGTTGAAACAGCTCCACTGGCTGCCAGTTTGTTTCCAGGCACAATTCAAAGTGCTGGTGACGACCTATAAAGCCCTGTATGGCTCAGGTCCAGGCTATTTGGCAGACTGTATCTTCCTCTATGAGCCAGCCCAGACTCTGAGATCCTCAGGGGAGGCCCTTCTCTCCATCCCATCACCATCACAAGCACAATTGGTGGGGACACAAGAGAGGGCCTTCTCCATGGCTGCCCCAGACTCTGGAACTCCCTGCACAGGGAGACCAGAATGGCCCCTTCCTTGATGGCCTTCCACCAACAGGCAAAAACCTTCCTTTTCAGACAGGTATTCAAAACAGAAAGCTTTTAAAGAATGCCCTGGGAAGCTATATTGTTTTTAATATATTTTAAACATTTTAATCTTCTTTTTTATTTTATTGTAGTAGCTTAATTCTGATTTAATGTATTATTTTTGTATGTTTTTAATTGTATTGTTTTTAATGTTGCAAGCCACCCTGAGTCCCAGTCCTGGGAGAAGGGCAGGATATAAATATAATAATAATAATATAAACCCGCTGGGTGTGGGGCAAGTCACATTCTCTCAGCCTCATAAGGTGGCAATGGCAAACCCCCTCTGAAGAAACTTGCCAAGAAAACCCTGTGATAGGGACATCTTAAGCGGGAAATGACTTGAAGGCATGCAACAACAACAATCCTTGGAACTGCCAAACTGACAACCGTAAAGGGCTTCTGTACCTTCAATGGATGTTTAGAGGAGAGAATTTCAACTGATGTTGCTTGTCACTGCAGGTAACACACAACATCTGCTGAAATTCCTACTGTTACACAACCATTAAAAGTACAGGAGCCCTCTTCAGTTTTCCACTCTCTGGTAAACCTACCCACACTGGTTAGGGTTGCTGGGAGTTGCAGTCCATCAATAGTGGAGGGCTGAATGATTATCTTCTTATTGTTGTGTGGCTTCAAGTTGTTTCTGACTTATGGTGACCCTGTAACAGGGTTTTCTTGGCAAGTTTCTTCAGAGGGGGTTTGTCATTGCCATCTTCTGAGGCTGAGAGAGCGTGACGTACCCAAGGTCACCTAGTGGGTTTCATGGCTGAGATTTGATCCCTCGTCTCTAGAGTCACAGTCCAATGCTCAAACCACTATGCCACTACAGAACTCCTACACATACTTTGTTGTCATTGTTGTGCACCTTCAAATCGTTTCTGACTTCTGACTATCCTAAGAAAGCGACCCTATCACAGGGTTTTCTTGGCAAGTTTCTTCAGAGGAGGATTGCTATTGCCTTCCCCTGAGGTTGAGAGAGTGTGACTTGCCCAAGGTCACTCAGTAGCTTTCATGGCCGAGCAGAGAATCGAACCCAGGTTTCTAGAGTCGTGGGGTTGCAGACTGCCAGAAATAGTGCAAATTGAGTCCACTTTTAGGGTTAGGGAATCATGGGAACTGTATTTTATGGTGGCACCAGAGCTCTCTGATAGAGAAGGCTCAATGTCTCAGGAAAAAAAATTCCCATGATTCCCTAGCACTAACCTTAACCCTAAAAGTGGACTCAATTTGCACTATTACTGGCAGTCTGCAACCCCTGGTAGTCCCACAATGATTCTCACTCCTGGTTTGAATCATAAATTGCTTTGAAGGCACAGACCAAAAAGTTAAAAAAAGCATCAGAATAAACAAACAAGCAAGTAAATAGTTATAGACACAGAGAATAACAAAGGCAGCCCGAACTCAAAGCACCGCTTTCGTCTGTACAACTACCTGTGAGTCTTTTAAGGCTCGCTACATATATTCCAGGAGGATTGAAAATGTGAAATCCTACTTTTCCCACACCAAGAAACCGGGCACAAAAACACCAAGGAAATAAAACTGTTTCACTCGAGTTTATGGCTCCGCGGCGTTCGTCTTCCTGGATAGGCCTCGCGTTTCCATAGCAACGCGTTTGCTGTTTAGTAGCCATAGCAACCAGAATATATCCGAAGTGGGCTGGGCCTTCGAATCGTGGGGCTAACCTGACTAGACGCCTGAGCAAAACTCCACGTTTATTTTTATTTTATTTACATTTTCGTGGTTGTGATCCATGAGGCCGACAGATATGTGAGCTACATCTTTATGTACCTTTCCGAGCGTTTAAAAGAATAAAAGAAAAAAATGTGAGACATCATTCCGGCAATAGAGTAGGCAGCCTCAACCCTAGGGCCTTTGACGGCCTGGTCGCAGCGGCGCGCGACGGGAAGAGGAACGTCGTGAGGAACGCGCGTCGGGCTTCGTGTGGCGCTGAAGGAAAGAGGTGCCATTGAATGCAAGTTTAAACTGCGGCCGAGTTTTCCTCTATTCGTAAGGACTCCTAGTAAGTTGATTTTTTTGTTGTTAACTGCCCTCGAGTAGATCTCGACTCATGGCAACCCTATGGAGGAGGCATATCTCCAAGACCCTCTGTCCTCCACTGCTCTATCCAGAAATAATTCCTGCAACCCCTTCATACCCATGATATCCTCCTTAATAGAGTCCATTCATCTGGCATGTGGCCTTCCTCTTTTCCTACTTCCTTCCACCTTCCTAACATTATTATTTTTTCCAAAGAGTCCTCTCTTTTCATTATGTGCCCGAAGTACGACAGCCTCATTTTGGTCATCTTGGCTTCTAGGGAGGTTTCCGGCTTGATCTGCTCTAGGACCCATTTGTTTGTCCCTTTGGCTATGACAAGCACTCTTCTTCAGAACCACATTATCTCAAATGCATTGATTTTCTTCCTATCATCTTTCTTAACTGTCCAGCTCTCACATCCATACATGGTAATAGGGAATACAGTGGCTTGTATGATTCTAACTTTTTGTATAATTCTGACTTTTGTGCTGAGTCGTATATCTTTACATTTTAGAATCTTTTCTAGTTCTTTCATAGCCACTCTCCCCATTCTTAATCTTCTTCTGATTTCCTGACTTCAGTCCCCATTTCTATCAATGTTTAATCCCAGGTATGGAAATTCTTTTACTATTTCTATTTCTTCATTGTTTAGGTTGTACTTGTGAAGGTCCTCGGTGGTCATTATTTTTGTTTTCTTTATGTTCAGCATTAAGCCTGCCTTTGCACTTTCTTCTTTGATCTTCCTTAGTAGGTGTTCCAGGTCTGTGAGGTTTTCTACTAGTATTATGGTGTCATCTGCATATCTTAGATTGTTGATATTCCTTCCTCCTATTTTCACTCCTTCTTTTTCTATGTCCGAGCCTGCTTTTCTTATAATATGTTCTGCATATAGGTTGAATAGGTAGGGTGATAGGATGCAGCCTTGTCTGTCTCTTTTGCCAATTGGGAACCATTCTGTTTCTCTGTCTTCTGTCCTGACAGATTCCATATCAGGACTATCAGATGTGTTGGCACTCCCCATGTCTTTAAGGGCATTCCATAGCCTTTCATGATCTATGCAGTCAAAGGCTTTGCTATAGTCTATAAAGTTGGATTATGTTAGCAAAAATACAGAAGAACCGCTTGGTGTGTAGGAGGTGTATTTATTTATATTTATTTATTTGGAATATTTATACCCTGCTCTTTAGCCGAAAAGGCTCTCAGAACAGCTTACAAATGGCTAATTACGCAGTTCCCTGCCCTCAGGCTTACAATCTAAAAAGACAAGACTCAAGAGGAGAAGTCAGAGTTTCTTTGTGCGGAGTGGGAACGAAGTTTCGACTTAGATCCAAAACACACACTGCAGAAATAATCCAGTTTGAGACTGCTTTATCTGCTCTGCCTCAGTGTGTTTTGGATCTTAATAGACACAGGACTGCACTATATTAGTGGTAGGAAGGAGCAGTCTGTAGAGGCAAAGGCTGCTACCACACTGCAGAATTGATCCAATTTAACACCACTTCATGCTGTGGAATCTTGGGGTTTGTAGTTTGTTGTGGCACTAGAGCTCTCTGACAGTTTTTGTTAGCAGCCTTCTAGTCGTCCTCGACTCATGGTGAGCCTGTAGATGAGGCATCTCCAAGACCCCCTGTCCTTCACTGCTCAGCTTAGTTCCTTCTAATTCATATCCATGATCTCCTTAATAGAGTTCTAAATAGAAAATGGATTTTCCTTCATTAGACATTTAAAGTACAAGCTGGATAGCTGCCATTCAAGAGTGCTTTGTTGTGGTTATTAACTATCTTTGAGTCAATCCTGACTCATGGTGACTCTGTGGATGAGACCCCTTATCCTCTGTTGCCTTACTTAGGTCCTGCAAAATCAGGTCCATGGCCTCCCTGACTGAGGGCCTTTGCAGATTGCCAGAAATAGTGCAAATTGAGTCCACTTTAAGGGTTAGGGTTAGTGCTAGGGAATCATGGGAATTGTTTTTTGGTTTTTTGTTTTTTTCCCCTGGGACATTCAGCCTTCTCTGACAGAGAGCTCTGGTGCCACAATAAAATAGAGTTCCCATGATTCCCTAACCCTAACCCTTAAAGTGGACTCAATTTGCACTATTTCTAGCAGTCTGCAAAGGCCCTGAGTCTATCCATCTGGCATGCAGTCTTCCTCTCTTCCTACTTCCCTCTACCTTTCCCAGCACTTTTGTCTTTTCTAATTATTCATGCCTTCTCATGATGTGTCCAAAGCCCGACAGCCTCTGCTTTGTAATCTTGGTTTCCAGGGAGAGTTTACGCTTGATCTGTTCAAGGACCCATTTGTTTGTCTCTTTGGCTGTCCATGGTATCCGCAGCACTCTTCTCCAGCACCACATCTCAAATTAATTGATTTTCTTTTTATATGCTTTCTTCACTGTCCAGCTCACACATCTGTACATGGTGATGGGAAAAACAATAGTTGGGACGATTCTAACTTTAGTGCTCAGTTGTATTGGGATCTTGTCTAGTTCCTTCATAACTGCTTTTCCCATTCCTAGTCTTCTGATTTCTTGACTGCAGTCTCCATTCTGATTGATGTTTGATTCTAGGTATGGGAACTCTTTAACTATCTCGATTTCCTCATTGTCTAGGTAGAATTTATGTATTTCTTCCATGGTTATTATTTTTGTTTTCTTTATGTTCAGCAGTAAACCTGCCTTTGCACTTTCTTCCTTGATCTTCCTCAGTAGTTGTTTCCTGCTAGTATTATGGTGTCATCTGCATATCTAAGATTGTTGAAGTTTCTTTCTCCTGTCTTCACTCCTCCTTCTTCTAAATCTAAGCCTGCTCCTCATATCATATTTTCTATGTGCAAGTTTTTATTTATTTATTTATTTATTGTATTTGTACCCTGCTCTTCAAAATGCTCTCAGAGTGGTTTACAAACTGGTAATTAGACATTTCCCTGCCCTCAGTCTTACAGTCTAAAGACAAGCAAAAATCCATCAGTGGTACCTTTATTGGCCAACCAAAATGCACAATATAGTTGTTGTAAGGATTGCAAAAGACGAGTCCCTGTTGAGTTGCAAATGGATTTTAAATTTCTTGGACTTTGAGAATCTCCCTAAACCCACATGGCCAGAAGGAGGAGGAGCCTGCCTGCAAAAGAGATGCTCCCCACCACATACCATCTTAACTGAAGACTGAAACAACATGTAAGCATCTGACTAACATCTGCAATTGTTTTTCTCCTGTTTGGTTTGTAACTTCTTGCCTGATGAAGAAGCCCATGGAGCTTTGAAAGTTTGCAACAAGTATATTGTGTGTTTTGGTTGGCCAATAAAGGTATCACTGATAGACTTTTGTTTGAATTTGCTAAATGGCCAACACAGCTACCCCTGAATGTAGTCTAAAGACAAGACACACAAGGAAAGGAGATGGCAGTGGGGGAGGGAATCAGGTCCAGCAGAAACTGCCTCTTATTCTCTCCCTCTGAGGCCTTAGTGGTGTCAGTTGGAATGGAGGAAGGACCTTTCTTCTGCTTCTTGTCCTAGGAATGATGGAGCTGTGCCTGTTTCTTATTCTCTTCCTCTGAGGCCAAGTTGAACAAGTAGGATGATAATATGCACCTTGCCTGACCCCTTTGCCATTTGGGGACCATTCTGTTTCTTCATATTCTGTTCTAACAGTGGCCTCTTGTCCTATGTACAGATCTTTCATCAGGACTATCAAATATAGTGGCACTCTCACATCTTTAAGAGTGTTCCATAGCTTTTCATGATCTATATAATCAAAGGCTTTGCTATAGTCTATAACAGGGGTAGGCAATCTTTCCC